ATATATTATATTATATTATTATATACATATATATATATATATATATTTATAATATTTTTTTTATATTTGTATTTACAATAATAACAATAATAATTTATAATTTTACATAACTATAATATTATAAAAGTTAAAGAATAAAATTTTCAAGATTAAAATTATTATAATTAATTATCATTAATAATTTTTTTGTATTTTTTACGATTATATTTGTAATTTTTTAACAATAAGAAATTTAATACATTTTTTTTGAAAATTCTATTAATATTAAGCGTAATTTTCTATATTTATTTTAAATTTTACCTGTAAGTAAGCATTTGAATTTAATATTAAAATATAATTCATTACAGTTTTTTTCTTTATAAGATAATTGATTAAATAATATTCAAATTATTTATTCAGTCTTAAGTTTTAAAATATAATAAATATTATTTAACAATAAATATTATTTAACAACATTTCGTTTTTATGAAATCATTAATTTACAATAATGTTTAGATAATGTTTAAATAATATAACATGATTATCTTGTGTATTTTTTGATTGTGGTGAAGTATCCAGATAATAATAGTCAATCCATTAAAAGTTCTTCGTTGGTTTCTTTAGTCTGTAAATGTAAAAAGAAAATTGAAAACTCTTTGTATTCTATAAGAAAGAAAAAGAAAATTGAAAAATTAAACTATGATCTCCAATAGAGATGAGACTTACGTATTTTTGATATAGATAACGTTTGTAATATATTCCTGTTTTTTCGTGTAGTATCCTTAGAAACATTCATAGATTTCCCATAAAAATTTTATATATGTTATTATATTGTAATACATATAAATTGTATATATATTATGATTTGAAAATATTCTCAGATCATAATATAAGATTTTAATACTATTTTGAGAAAAAATAAATAAATAAAATATATAAAGAAGTTATCAATTTAAGAGAAAAAATTTGCTGTATGTGTGAAATAAATAATTGTATTAATAAAAAAATATGAAATTAAAATTATGAAACTAATAATATATTTCTAAAAAGATTGTACAACAAAAATTAATATTATTGAAAAATAATAATAATGCTTTGATAGATAATAAATAACATTTAATATATAAATTTCTAAAATTAGGAAAAAAATGTATAGTATGTATCGTTATAATATCGTATTAATAAGATAAGATAATAAGATTCTGTCTAAATTTAATGTATAACATAATAATTCAAGTATATTTCAATGAGTTTGATCAAAATATTCTTGAGAATGTTACTTCATAATAATATGGACTTATTTAAAAAGAAAAAGAGGTCTTTCCGAGATAAATAAATTGGCTGCAATGATTTTGGAATACCAGATATGAATCTATTGGATTTTTTTTTCTGAAAACTATCTGAAGTTAATTTCATTACTATTGTTTTTTTCAAATAATTCTCCATTCTTTTTATAATCACCATTTTATAATAAAATATATTCATTATTCGCTGAAGAAATAATAATTAAAATTTAGTAGTAAATTAATAGTAAAATTTAGTAGTAAATATGATCATCGAAATTACATTACGTGCAGAATGAAATTATAACGAACGTATCTAATAATTTAATAATCTTAATAATATGACAAAATTTGAAATATTACTGTAAATTGATGATTATAAAAATTTATATGGCATTTGTTATTGAGAAATACAAATAATAAAAGTTGAAAGCTGAAAAATTCATTATGAAATAAATCAGTTAAACTTAATTTTCCTAAAATGATAAAGGAAGATTTAAAAATCATGGTATTTTATTCTTGAAAATTCTATTCAAGTATAAATCAATTACAGAAACTTAATTTTCCTGAAATGATAGGAAAGATTTAAAAATCGTGATATTTTTTTCATGAAAAATCTAAATTTTATTTTGACTAGTATGCACATTTTTATATATTATCGCACATTACTATGATAAATTACTTTTTAATTCTCATTGCTTTTTATTTCATTCTTTTATATTATAGCAAATTATTTTGACATAAATATTCATATTTTTAAAGAATCGTAGTGATTGCGATTGGTTGCCTGAAAAGAATGATTTTTATGATTTAGCCAAACTATTTAGATTTTTCACAAAATAATCCAAACCATCCTTTCAAAAAATTAATCCATCAAAATAAGTAAAAACATGAGTTAAGGATTGGAAGATTTAAAATTTAAAAGCCAAAAAAATAAATATATGTATTTGTATTTATATCAATTAATATTATCGTATAAAATTTGAAAATTTGTAATATTGTAATATATTAACCAAGCTGAAAAAACACTAAATATAATACTATTGATTATTCTTCTTCTAATAGA